TGAAATAAGATTTTATATTAGTCAAAAATGCAAGAATTGTAAATCATATATAGATAGTAGTCAAAAACTTTGTGAATTCCTTGATTATGAAAATGTATGAAGTTTGTCAAAAAATCAAAGGGTTATAACCAGGAGTAGGATTTGTATACAACAGCATGTTTTTTTGGCAACTTCTGATTATTGACTTTGTCAGCAATGTCCACGAACCACCTCATTATGTGATAAATGGTGGTGTTTTTATTTTGCATATTTTGGATAAAATGCATATTATTGCATATTTCGATTATAAGAATGCGAAAAATAAATGTTTTATAATATATTTCATAATTAATATTTATAATTTAATATTAATATTTCGTATTTAAATCTAGTCCTGCTGTTTGCTGTATAATGTATAAAACTTGGTTTTTTTTTGTCAAACATAAATTTTATTTCATTTTATTTCTCAATTATATTATATTAAGACAAACAGCCAACCACTAATGTGTTTCAATAAATAAGTATTTTTTTTTGTAACCATATTTTTGTGTTTATCTTATAAAAATTTAAATGCATATTTTTGCATATTTTTTATTGCATACAAATCCTAGTGCTGGTTATAACAATATTAAACATTTAGTCGAAATAGGGTCACATCATGAAACTAATGAAAATATGATACTTATGGGTTATGAAAAATCACTAATGCCGACAACCTAATAGGTTGTTCTGCCAGAACATATTTAATTTTATACAAAAGAGCATGGAATACACATAATTAATTATCGACATATAATTTATTCAATTTATATTGGTATTAAATTATACACGTATGGGCTATGTATAATTTTCTTGACGTTTATACCCATATATATATACTTTTATATACACAATCATATGTATGATAGTATATAACAATCATAGTTAAAAATGTTAAAGCAAATACAAGTTATACATGTTAAGTGTTGATATTATGATACATACGATACATACTAATATGTGTGTAAAATATGTATAGAACGAATAAACATGTTTCATAACATTGATACCCATTATAGAAGTAATTATCTGCAAAGTGATTGTAGGTAAACAATTAATAGGTTTTTAAACTAATGTATTTATTATTTTTATTATATGGGTAGAATATTATACAAATTTTTATAATGCTCACGCATATTTGCCGATACTTCTGACTTATAACTTACGGTGTATATCACGACTCGCAAGAGTAATGAATACGTAGTACGTATGTAAGTATGAGTGTATCATAGCGAGTTAAGATGAAAAACAGTTTATTTTATTTTTACAAGCATTATACAATTATAGTTATTTTTTTCAATTTCAAGAGAAGGTTAATTTCCTTTATAGACAATAAACAATTTTAATTATTTATAACTAACAATTTTCTTAGTTCACTGAAAACAGTTTAGAAAGAAAACAACTCTTGAACAGAATAAAACGTTGGTCCCAATAGTAAATTTAGGCATTATTTAAGAAATAAATATTTTCAAGAAAAGATCTTATTTTTCGGCTCTTGAAGTCTTTTAATTCGATCTTATTTTGCTCACATTTATTGACACTAAGTGGGAGAAACTACGTAGTATAAAAGAACCGCTGTTAATTAAAACCGGAAACGTTTCAGAAATATAATATATACATAGAAAGTCATGATCATCGACATAAAACGAAATAATCGCCTAAGATCATAAGGATAATAATAGTCATATAATAACCATCATACTAGTATAGTTAATTTTTCTCTCAACATATGTTAAAAGTAAAATTACTAATTGCGTTAATTAGACTGAATAATTTCTTCATATTGTATATTATAATATTTATATTATATTATATTCTATAAAATATAGAGTCAACATCAGATATGTGGCTAATTTTTTGCAGTTTTTCCTTAGATTGGCCCACAAAAACTAGTTGCCGAAAAGTTTTCTATTTTCTAGGGACGCAGATATTTAACTTATTGCCCAGTGATATGGCTAATATGCCGCTATTCATTTTCAAAAAAAAAAAATTTCTACGGGCTCCGATATGAATATGATGTGACTAAAACTTAATATTAAATATAAAATACTAAATAACACTTGTAATATTACTGAAATTATTTATGTGATTTATCATGAAAAACTCCTAATTCGTCTTTTTATAAAAATATTATAAGTAGGTACCTATAACAATAAGAATTATTTGTAAACTAAGATAACCCTGGGTCTCCACATGAGTTTTTCTCAGTGAGGCAGAGTAATATTTTTATATTAATAATTAATTATTATTATTATAATTTAAAAACAAAAAAATTATACCTGCAAATTAAATATATAACGTGTCCTGTTTATCTGATGCATTTTCCACAACCTATCTGCGTGTTGTAACTGATGTATAATTTGTTTTTTGGGGAAAAAAAACAATAGCAAAATCTAGCCTTTTGACGTTGAAATACGTACATATTATCCGCACATTGCATACAGTATTTAAGAATATTAATTATTATTTTTTTACCCACTATGAGTTACTTTTAGGATATTATATGTGATAAAATATGAATCAATTTAAATGTGAATGAATTACATTTTGGTGCCAATGATATATGTGTATGGGCGCATGTAAACTCCGCCAGTGAACAAAATCAAGTAGTAGTATAAAATTAATATGATAGATTATTAAAAAATATATATAGTATAATATCATATCATATCGTTCAAATTAAATATTTAAATCATAGTAAAAAAATTGTAATTAATAATCATTATACCTAATAATCCAAAAATATAGTTATGTATGTAAACTAAAATAATGTGACATAATTTGTAAATATTCTAAGTCTTGTATTACTCCATTAGTGTACCTATTTATTTATTTCGAATTTTTTGGTTTATTTACTTGAGATATGCCATTTAGTTATATATAAGTATGGGTTTGAAATTCGGTAAGAACTTTACTAAAAATATGAACATTCGGTTGACTTTTCTAAAATTAATTTCTTCGATGACTATGAAAGGATTCACAGGCAAAACAAAAAAAAAAACTGGCGGAGTTTACAATCATCTATATGTATATATATTGACACAAAGTAATATATACATGTAGGTACTCACAAGAACGATTTTATGAATTATGAACGATGGTTACCGACACGTGAGGTCCGTTTAATATGTGTGGTCTAGTTATATACGTAGTGTACGATACCCAAGATCCACTGCTTGCTGTTATACGAGCTTAAGGTACGTGCGCGCGCATCGGACCGAGACGGAAAGGATAAATGTAAAATATTAAAATTATGGGCCACATTATGACCCAATGAACCGAATCACCTTAAGGAGGTCCGACTTTTATTATACTTATAACAATTTATGTTTTAATAATATTATTATGACCAATCTCAGTCAATGTTTATAGCTCTTAATTCGCAAATATATTTAACTATTGTATTTTGCAATATTTTGAATACATGAATATAAATATATTGTGTATTTCCACAGCTTCGTATCGTACTGCTAAATTTTTAATGTTGTATAACTACTAATCGGATCATTTATCATATTTAGTTAAAGTTTGACACATGGTTATTATGGGTAATTCTTAGCTACTGGAAACTATTTGTTATTACTAGAAGCCAAAATTATATTCTATTGCATATTTTTTTTTTTGATTCTATGCACTCGTACGGGAGTTTGAAATAGTTATAAATCATAAATTATGTAAATAAATGACATACATTTTTTTTTTTGAATATTTGAAAATAAATCAAATAATTTTATACATTTTCAATATTTTCTGTTATAATGAGAAAAATATCTCGTCTCTAGTAATAACAGTTTTTTTTTTTCATGTATATTATTCATTGTTTTATCAACTGAACTTGTTCAAAACTAGACAACAATTTAATATCCTTTACAAACTTTAATATAAGCAATTATTCTTCTAGCGTGGTATTTATCTTTCCTAACTCATAGTACTTAGCCGTTTCAAAGAAAAAACGAAAAAAAAATTATCCTTTGAAATATTATTGAAAGTACCAAAAGAGATTATTTGTCATTACTACTATTTTTAATTTTCTTTGGTGAGCTGAGCCAAGTAATTTTGAATACTAAATTTTTTTATTTACAACTTAAATGCATGTAATTTTAATATTTTATCATAAAATTTCGTTTTGAGCCATTTCAAGCAATTTTGACAAAATTTTGACTATGGGGCAAAATCTAATATTGAAGCAGAGATTTTCTCATAAATTGGTGTAATCATCCTACTCTGGAAAAATTGATATTTTTCTTTTATATGAAAGAAAACAATGTGTTTCAAGCGGCTTTTTATGCCCCTAAACCATGTAATATTTCTGTGTAATAATCTCTAATTAAAAAAAAAGAGGAGCCAGAATATACATTTACTAATCGCGTATGGATTTATATTCGTGTGCCTAAACTTGTTATTTGATAAGAATATGAGACATTTAATGTGACTAAACATAATCGATAAATCAAAACGATAGTGTTAAAAAAAATAATATATATGACTATTTACTACAATTAACTTTTTGGTCAATTTTTGAGTTAACCTATTCGTATTTATACTCTTATATGATGATGTTGATATCACATAATAATATCTATACTATACATGGATACTCATATTTTTTCCATAGGTATTAGAATTTCACGGTCCGTTAACGTTATTGATTCGATCGATGAGATAGATATAATTTATAAATCATATACGGACAAATAACAACAATGTTGTGGGTGTTTTTAAATTCACGAATCATCAATTATAAACTAGATTACATATTTAAATTTAATTGTTTATCGGTGTATAAATTTATTAAACTACCTAATTGTTTGCTATTCAACCCCGTAATAGTTAGGTAAAATAAAATGAAATATTAACTTTTTACCGATGGGTACTGAAAATCTCAAAATCGTTGGAAAAGCATTTGAAAAAGAGAAACAAACAATTGAGTTAACTTGAATTGAGACTATAATATAATTATTGATATTATTAATACGACTCACCTTTCTGTATGTATAATGTGATGTGTGAATGTGTGTTTTAGTGATAATTTGCCTCGTGACACCGACGGCACTGAATTCGACACTGTTTCCGTTGTTTATAATACACAAGGGTAAAACAACGCACAATGTTCAATACCCGCAATGAAACCGAACCATGAAAACAAAAAATAAAAGTATACTAATATCTAAACAAAAATGAACGTTCCACGTGCGTGCGTGAAAAACGAAATAACGAAACCGAGAACTGTACACGGGAGCGGAGCAATTGACGACTGACCGGTGTATGTTGCGGTTGGAAATCGGTCGTGACTATTATGCATCACGAAGAGTCGATCGCCCTCCTCTAACCATGGTCCGGCACGATCTTGCAATAGAATCGCGGTAGTAAATGCGCGAAGCATGGTTAGTGCGCAAGAGATACCTATAACAACACTGGATTACCTTATCAAAGATACGGAAAACGAAATTAACTTTTATTTATTCAATAGTTCATCATACGGCATGCAATGCAATGTACAACGACAACAATTTTAAGGTCTTTAAAAACAAAATGCATATTTTTAAGCATGGGGTTTATGTACCATTTAAGTTCTAAATTCTAATGCACGCATAATGGTGACTAAAATATGACGTACGATTTTCGTTTTGCTATGCAAATAAAATATTTAATTATTACTATTATTATTAATATTTTGTCAGTGTAATTCGGATTGAATGATTTTGAAACATAATTTTTCAACTTAAAATTGGACATTTAATAATGTTCAAGTGTAAATTAAAATTATTAAAATCAATATTTATTTGAAACATGAAAATTGCAACAAATTAATAGAAAAATTACTGTAATATTATATCTTTAACATATCCTAATTTATTATTAGAGTTTAGTTAAACAATTGAATAGTAGGACATTATTATTTAATATTGAATATAGGACACTGAGATATAACATTACGTCCTATAAGTTCATCTAAATCGGATTTCGATTGACTAATGACATTAAGAATTTTTATAATATTTAATTTAACACACAATAATCAACACACTTGTTTATTTATTTTACGTTATTGATATAAACGCCTTTAAGGTTCAAGTACAGTTCAGTAATATAATAAAGTTCACAATACAAGATTATATTAACATTATATAATAAGTATATTCTTAAATAATGAAGATAAATAACAATTAAATTTAATGTATTTAATTAATAAAAGTATCACAAGTTTTGTAAACGGAACTGGGTCAATCGACCGAAAACCATTCAACCGATAACCAAAATAGCAACAGGGACAATTGACCGACAGATTAATCGACCGACATTAGACATATTCTATATTATAATTATATCAACTACAATATATTGTATTTTTATTAAAAAAATGAGAATATTCATTTAATTAAGAAGTTATAAGCTATACATCGAAGAAACTCCAACTTAGAGTTACCCCCTTACAATTTTTAAAAGCCAATTTAAAGTGTCCCTCGTGTTTTTCATGCTTTTTGGTTGGTCGTGGTATTTGAGCTTTATGCTTTACTTTTTTACATTGGACATCATAACAAGGAATATATGGTCTTATTTTTCTGCAATGTCAGAGTGAGGCTTGAATATTTTGGGACGTTTTATTTGTAGTAAACCTTGGTACATTTTAATAAATAATATTCAATTAAATAATTTTAATTTAGAATAACGAATATATAATTGAAATTGTTACTAACATTTAATCATACAATTGCAGAAGTAACATCAACTGGATTTTCTTCTGGTGCATGATTATGCTCTTTATGAGCTCTCAAAATATGTTGAGTATTGATTAAAATTGTGGATGTATAGCTTTTACAATTATGCAATACTTTTTTTCACAATTTCAATAAAAATATATCATTGATTTTTATCTTTTACCATTAAATATCCATTAACGATTATTTTTTCTTTGCCTTGTTGGGATGGGACAACACTACTTAAGTCCATTTTTTTTTCGTTATGATGGGTATAAAATACATATATATTTATTTTACACATTTATTTTTACAAAATTCCCAATACTTTGAGTATTTAGTTAAGTAATCGAGTGTTCAATGTAGCACGATTTAATAAATCGTTAAAATAGTAAAAATTTAAAATGTTTTATTATAAATTAAACAAATTATCTTTGTCATTTTTCATACATTAAATTTATGTTTATTGTCAAACACAGCGATTTCTTAGTTTACTCCAATTTATATAAATTAAATACACACAATAATTAATTCGATATCCCACTATTGATCAAGTACATATTAGGTAATATTAAAAATTTTATTAAAAAAAAAAATATTATAATTAATGTAATTGTAATGCAGAATATGTCTAATTTCGATCGATTATCTCTGTCGGTATTTTGGTTGTTGGTCGATTGTCCGTGTTCCGTTGTAAGCAATAATTAGTAGGTATACATATCCGTATAATAAAATATTATTGTAGAATAAGATATTTTAGTCAGGGACGTATTTAGGAGGGTGAGTGGGTACCATCGCCCCGGGTGGCACATTTTTTTTGAATCAAAGGATGGTAACATTATTTTGCAACCATTATCTATTTTCATTTGTCAATCGAAAAATTTTAATATTTAAAATTTTGCACAGTGACCACATGTCGATTTTTATTTTCATGATAATATAATCAAAAGTAGATCGCGTAAAATTCGTAAATAATACATTTTACCTATCTTGAAAATTGTATTCGTATTCGTGTAGAGGTGGCAATAAAACTGTACCTGGGGCGTCAAAACTCAAAATACGTCTCTGATTTTAGTATTACGTTTTTTTTTTTTTTGTTATTTTAAAAAGCTGAAAAGTTGAGTTGAAAAGTCGCTTGTTACATAAATGTTGGAAAATCTTAATCATCATCCACATGATGTGTGATTCCGGAGAACTAAAAGTTAAATATAGGTAATATAAAATACTACCCAATGTGGTCACCCTTTCGCGTGCACAGGGCAAAACAATTTATAATGTCCTAATTTTACTTTAGGTTATTTGTTTAACTGGTTCTTGGTTCCTGATCTACATAAAACCGTATCTGGCCACGAGAACGTCTAACCTATCAAGTATCCACATATTCTTTTAGATATGCACCGACAGCGTGTATTTAGGCGGTTATATCTGCGTGCGATAGCCCGCTGTTAGAGTAAGCGACACACTCGCATGTACGTCTAGATAAGTCCTGATAAGGTTCGGTGGAGTACATCTTGTGTGAAATAAATCACCTCAGCCGATGCAGCATAGCATACATGTTTGTCAGTGGAAGAGGATCGATTGTTGAATAAATTAACATCTAGCCAAATCATAACATGTGATTTCATTCGGATTAATTTTTTTTTTTATAATTAACGCTCTTTCAAAATAAAAATAATATATATATATATATATATATTTAAAACTGTATGCGTATACTCAGCGAAACTTTAAAATGTTATCGTTAGATTTCTGAGTGACATACTTCCGGAGAAAAGAGTGAACGGCAACGCAATGCGTTGGCCGAAATTCAATGAATCCTAACAACTAGTTTCGGCATATATAGGCACTTAGAAGTTGTATACGACATACCGCTAAAACTGATAATTCTGGTTATTTAATAATGCGTATTATATATGAGTTTTAGATATTCGTATAAAATAAATTTTATGTGTGTGTCATATATTTAAGTGGAATAATATATTTTAGTAATTAAAAATATTGATGACTTGGCGTTCCATGGTGAAACATAGTTTATTATGTTTCGTTTAAGACAAGGTACAAGATACGAGTATTATAAAACATGTTTATAATAAATAATAGCTAAACCGGCACCTACCTAAAATCAGTGTTCAGCTATGGTAAATGCTTTTTAATCTAGATAAAGATAAAGATAGTATATCAAAAATCTATTTAGATAAATATAAATATAAGGTAAAATAAGATAAACTAAATGTATCTTTATAAAAGATAAAATATAATCATAATTTATCTAGATAGAAAACAGTTTAATTTTTAAAAAAACAACAAATTTAAATTCAATTGTCAAAAATATATCAGGTCTATCACTAACAATTCATAATACCAACATGAAAAAAAAAGCTCTTTTAAAAGAAAATACCTAGAAAAATTGTACTTTACTTTGATTATTTTATTCTACGTAACATAAATTCAGTTTATAGTTGACATAGTTTTGTTTTAGACTAACGTAAAAAAGCAAACATCTAAACTATCTGAACTCACGATCGTACTGCTATACTCACGTACATATTATTCATAGATTTACTATACTCGCACTCTATGAACTATTAACGGTTATACAGACACAATTTTTTTTAGTTTTATACATGGTGTAATAAAATTAAGGAAACAAGATATATTTTGGTTAGATTACTTATTTGAACCCAGTTTATTTATAAATCATTTATTTTCATTGTTTGTTCATTTTGATTTAAATTGATTTTTTTTACGAAAATGTTAATGATATATATTTACTGTATTTTATATTTTCACGTCAAACGTTCCTCGAATTAAAAATATTGGCTGCCTCTGCCGATCAAATATTTTTCGGGTTTTCAGTTATTTTTTTATTTTTAATTTGCCTTTTTCACACATTACAGCAAGGGTTTTCAGTTATTTTCTTTATATTTTATCTACAATTTATTTATATGACAAAACCTCTTTGATATCAGCTGTTTTCGGACCATTATATAGGTATTTATTACTCGATTTGTTTAGTTGTTAGTTTTTCATTTTCTATAACCAACATTTTATTTCATTATTTAATAACTCTAAACAATTTAGCATAATAAACATTTTATGTGTATGCTATTTGTAAAGTATTAATCTAAAGAACACCGAGTAACTCTAGTTTTTGTTTAAAAATAATAATTTCTTATAATTATGTGTTTAATAAATATCCGAAGATAAAGAAAATGTCCACATTTATTATTAATGTTTTGCATTTTCATCGGCCTAGAACTAACGGTCAAATAGAAACAGTAAATAAACCCATAGTCTGCTTTAAATAAAATGTTACACGTATCAATGTCCAAGTATGTTTTGAGGTACAACAAATAGATAAAATTTATAATGGAGTACGTGGAATATTGGAAAATGAAGAAATCAATAATTCAATTGATATTGAATTAAGAACAAAGGCGCCTTTAGTATTTGGGTGTGTTTGCGCATGCATGTAGGTGGGGGTTCTAAAGTTGTAGAGTGGGCGCTAGGGTAACGGGATAGGTGATAATATTAAGTAGTAACAGAAGACTTATGATTATTTAAAAACAATATTTACCACATTT